ATAATTTTTTTTTGCTTGCAGCATACATTGGTCTCAGTGTTCTAGGGCACATCCTCCTTGAAGACTATGTCAGAAGCATTTAGGGGAAGTCAGGCTCCACTTATGCTTCCATCTCTTGGCACGACCTTTACAATGATGGGTTTTTCTGGTTGAAGAAGTTCTTTCTTGCTTAATTTCATAGGAATCTGAAACAGTCAAAAAGCATATAAAGAAGCAAAGGACAATGCACAAAAAAAGAGCAAAATAGTAAAGGAAGTTTAAGATAGTAATGGTTTACAAAAACATAGAAACAACTCAGCATTGTAAAATTTGAAGTTTTAATATTTATTCTCTAAATTGTGTCACTATTGTATGGTGAAAACAGTTATCTACCTTTTCACTCAAAAAATATTTCAGGAACACCTGTTTTGCACCATGCCTGAGAAAAACATCATGTTGGTTATTTGTGTGTTTGATTTACTTTAAAGTACAAACAATGAGTTTTTAAAACTTAAACCAGATTCTGCAATACTATGGAACACTATTTTTGAAAGTCATAAAAAATTAATTTGGTCTTTATTGAAGTTTTCAAAACTGCCTAAGTTTTAACTACTTGGGCATATTTAACATCAGAAGACTATAGTCATACCTTACAAATAAATCCATTGACTTTAATAATGCAAAGAATCTTTCAGGGAAACTTACACTCTGCTTTTCTTTTTAATATCTCTTGGCTTCCAAGTGTAGTGCAAATGAGGCACTTTTGAATCCTACAGTCTCTCAATTAAATCTTTACCCATTTTCACTGAGTCACTCCTGCATTTTATATAGAGCTTCCAACACAGTAACCTCCTGATGTCAGTAAAGGGAAAAGGAATCAAATTGTCAGGAATATTGAAAAGTACAAGACTGGAGAACATTGGGAACTTGTAGAAAGAAGCTGCTCCAACCCATTTATGCCCAAATCCCTTATATCTCAAGTCCCTGTATTTACACTTATAGCTCAGCTACCCAGTGGGTCCGAAGCCACAAATGAATTGAAAATCAACTCCATTCTCCTCCTTTCCTATGCAGAAAGCCTATTGACAAAGAGGAGTTGCATATTCAGTGGATATAGACTACTGTCATGAGGAAGGTAATCAGCTCTGGTAATAAGAATATCATTCAAACCTTGTGACAATGTGATCATTGCACTTCATGATTGTGCACAACACGTCCAGGTTACCACCTCCAGGTTACTTGAAATAATTTAAACATTGCTCAGGGCTCAAGAGACCACACAAAATTGTGTCATACTAATCTGCAAGAACTCTAGATGATTTGTATACTTTGTCTTCATAAACCCATAGATTTAAAGGTCCAAAATGAAGGACCATAAAAAATCTCATAGATGCCTGAAAATGGAATCTTTCACCCCTATAAAAAGGGATAAAACTAAACAAGCAAATCTTTTTTGTAAATAGATCCCTCATTTTAGAAAAACCTCCCAGTAGATGATTATTCAAACAGAATGATTTGTCTTACCTGTGTTTCTTTACAAGGTTGGAAGGAAAAGTCCTGCAGGACTCTGACAAGAGCAAGTTTCATGTTCATGAGAGCAAATCTCATGCCAATGCAGTTCCTGGGTCTAGTCCCAAAAGGCAGGTATGTGTAAGGGTCAATGTTTTCCTTGTTCTTATTGAACCTGTTTCATGATGGAAGATGAAAATAACTTAATGAATCATAAAAGCCACAAGAGTTACTGGCTAGAGATTATTACATCAACATCCCTTAGTAGTAGCATACAGAACATTATTGAGGATTGGTCATTGAAATCTCACTGCATTTTTGCTGTGAGAGTTGTAAGCTGCAGATAATTACTATTTCCTTTATCCTAGAAGAGTTTCTAGTCTTGTTGGCATGAGATAACTGCTGTGTAAAAGAAAATTCATCTTTCAACACTAAACAATATTCATATTCGGGCCATATTTGCTGCCTGTAATATAGGAAATAAAACAGACTGAAGGAAATGTAGTTTCCTGTCTCAATTTACACTTCTGTTGGTTATTTATTCATTTAGGAAGAAAAATCTGCCTCCTACTATTGAAAGTGTTTTCCTTCTCTTTTTTTTTTCAAGGAACAAATTTTTTTCAAGTAAACAAATTTACTATTCAAATTGGTTAAACACAGGCATTACACATCTTCTCATTACTGTCCTTAGAGGATAAATCTTAGAGTAAAAATGATTTTGTGTTTTTAATATAATTAGAAAACTATTGAAGAGCTTAAGAAATGATTAAAGTATCAATACTTAATCTTCAAAGACTCCATCAATAGACTATGACAGTTGCACAGCAACTTATGAATTTATGCTCTTAGATTTTAATAGTCACATCTACCTTCTGTCCATTGTAAATTCTGTGTTTATCTTAAAAACACATTTAAAAATATATATACAATTCAGTATTGTATGTATGTTTTATTTATATTCCTCTCTGTGTTCTACTGAAGCATATATATTCTTTTAGATACATGGGGACCCTATCATTAAGGTTAAGGGTGGTTTTACCTAGGAAAACAAAGATACATGCGCACCAGGGAACATTTTTCACTTTCTTGCCAAAATACAAAAGGGAGGAAAAACTATTTGACTCTTTAGTGTCATTGTTTTCAACTTTTATGTTAGATCAATGTAAAATATATTCATATTTTTATAAAACTTCAGTGAATACAATGCAGAGGTAAACACTGCTTTCTATTTAAAGTAAACTAACTTTTTACAAATAATATGACGAAAAAGAGAGAAAGAAATAAAGAAAAGAAAGACACATGTTCTCACCAGAAAAAAGGCCAGTGGGTTTCTCTACCAGGTAATCTAGATGAGGTGGACAGACCTCCCATACTGAGTCTCAGGTGTGCAGATTTCCCCTCCCTGCCTGCTGTGGACCTCCCAATAATGGCTCCGTGGCATCTTGAAAAATAAGACTGATCTGGCCTTTACATTTCACACAAGCTTTGAAGGAACTATCAAGTAGTAATGACTCAGTTATTCTTTATGGCTCTTGTTACTGTGAACAATGACAGAAGTGAACGTCTTCACAGACTATGATGTCTTCACTGATCTGTCTACTTCCCTACAAACACCTTCTAGAGAAAAAAGGTCAGGCAGACTACGGTGCAGCACTGATTATAAGCATAATTATAGGAGGCAAACATGAAACCCAAGTTCAAATGTGCATAGGTACTGAGTTGATTACTCAACTACAAGGAGCTCTTTTTTAAAGCACAGCTGATTTTTAGCAAGTTCAAGGTATCAAGAGATCTTCATTTTGATTTTATAAAAGTAGGCTCTGTTGTGTGACAAACTGAAAGTGACTGAAAAACCAAGACTGCATGCTTTCTAAGCCTAAAAGTAACCAGAAGTAGAGTCAAACATGAACGTATATTTCAACAGGAGGGTGATAAACAGAAATTAATGGAGGCAATATGCTGAAGAATGAGGAAACCCATATAATGGCTTATGCTGACAGTGAAAAACTCTAACCTTATAATGGTAAAAACATATGTACTAGTTCTTTCACTCTGAAAGAAGCTATTGGCCACTAAAGCTGCCATGAAGGTCTTTGAACTGTTAAAACCTGATGTGGCATCAAATATTAATTTCTATATCAGAATGATAAAACTAAAAGCAACATGTTAACTAGCGAATTTACAAGACAGAAAACGTACTCATTTTTTTTTATTAAATTCTTTTATTGGTACATTGTAGGTAGACAACACAATTAACATTTCTCATTGGGAATTGTACCTTTACATAATACATCCTGGTTCTTATTTTTCCCCATTCCTAGTCCACCCTTCCCTATTTACAAAGACTTTATTTCCATTTTTTCCATTTCTCAGCATTTATCCTTTCCCTTCTTTCCTTTCCCCTGCCCCTCCCACT